TGGCCAAATAAATATAAGTGGGCGATTACTGCATTAGGACAACTAATGTATCTAACTGTTTAACTAATCATTATAATTGTGACAATAGAAATGCTGCCGACTGCTTCGCTCCGGTTTAATCTGACGAGGTACGGGGAGCTATTCTCGAAAACTGATATGTAACTTTTGCGAAAAATTGACATATCATAAATGTTTGGCTTCTCGTATTCTACTCTACTTTGTTATAAAAATTGTGATCTGTGCTAGCTATCATGTCACGCCTATGAGAATCGTACCCCTTTGAAAAAAATACAATCAAGATATCTCAGTAGGACGTGTTTAAAATAATTAAGCAGTTAGTTATTCGTACGGCACCAAGCACCATAATCATACACTATGGAACGAAAATAATAATTTAAGGGACCAGAAAAAAAGGCGCGTGCGCACCTGTTCCATACACGGGTCCCGGACATCTGTCTGCTTTTAGCTGATAACCTTTTAAATTATGGTAATGATACCAGTCTCGTATACATTTAGTGCACGAAAACAAGATTTCTTAAAATCACAGGTGATTTGCTTTTAAAATTAAACCACACATTAAAGATTCATGGTCACGATAAACATACGCCTGATAAGACGTATATATGCATGTGATAAGACGTATATATGCATGCATACAGGTGAATTGGTTTCAAATCCTGGTAAACTATAATTGTGTTTCAGATAGAGGGACACGTCACAGAAGGGAGTATCTACTCAGTCATTCATTCACGTAGGGATTTGAATTTTAAAATTGAAATATATAAAATTTAAAGAAAGAGGAAGTCTTACAAGCATGCGATTTTTGAATGTACTTGGTACTGGTACTGGCACTTGGGTAGGGTAGGTGAAATGCGCTGACAACCTTCGTCTTCTTCGCCTTGGCTTTTGATATTCCGAAATTCTAGACTAAAACCGAAACCCGATTAAACTTGACGGCTTTTTCACCTGTGGACGATGTTCGTACGCGGGCGGAATTTCGATCATTCCGATCACCCATTTATAATATCCAGATTTCCAGACGAAGTCCAATATGTTTTAGAAAAATTATAAATTGATTTGAAAAATGTTGGACCCGGTAGGGATCATATTAGCCATACATTGCTACCATTACACCAACGACACCATAAAATACAAACAAAATAAAGTTTTTATATTAGGGAAAAGGAATCATAAGATGTAATTTAATGAAATATAATATGATTAACTAACCTACTTTTTCCTCTCACAATTGAATCATAACAATTTAATATCAACCTTATGTAAGACCTAGCAAGGAAATCCGGTGTTGATTTTGGTCTTAACATGTATTTTATTGTATTGTTAAATCTGTGTCACAGAATATGTAATTTCATTTTTATCATCTTGCGTTTGATGTCAAATAATTACATGTTTCAACGTAATTAAAAGAGCCCTCGTCAAATGTATTGGTGTTTAGCTTTCGAAAAATCTATAATTAACTGAGTTACTTCATCAATTTAAAAAATCGATTCATAGATTTCCGATTAGTTTTATATTCGGTACTAGCTGATCTGACCAATGTCATATTGCCATAAAAAGTGTGAGATAATCTTAAAAGATACTGTCCCGGACATTCTTAAATAATTAAAAAAGAAGTAACTCTTTCATACATATTGTTTGTATATTTTGTTTCTCGCTCCTATTTTCTTTTATATGCTAAAGCTTTCCACGATAAATGCTCCAACCAAGACAAGCAGAATTCGAACCAGTAGCTCCCGAGATAAACCTCCTACAAACAGACAAGCAAACCCTTCAGATATATAAATTTTTTGATTTCAATATTGGATAAATTTACGTCACGAAAGACCCACGAAGGTCAATAGATCGACCGGTGACAACAAGTCTACCTATCAATCGAGGTCTGATGAGTCAAAACATGTCAAATACTACAGTGTTTACGTTCTAAAATCACGCTGTTACGTATCTTGACGCATGGTTAGTCAGGTCCTTCTCGGAAGTCGGTTAACGGATCTTCGAACGGTCATTTGGCGAGTTGCACCATATTCGGACTTAATATTGCTAATACTCTATCTGTTATGAAATATTTGCTTTTTAAAACTAACCACTGTAAACTTATTATCAACACTGAATTCAGTATTTATAGTTAAAAGTACTAAATACTGTCTATAGTTTACGCCAGTAGTACACATTTAAATAAAACACTTTACTTAGTTAACTAATATTCGCGTTTTAAACCGTTAAAGTGTTTTATTTAAAAGTTAAAAGTTTTGTTGGTAGTTAAAAGGACGTTTTAAAGATTTGGTACTAATACGATGGTATACCGTTCTTCGTGACATGGACTAGTGTCGTTTCATCAATTATTCCAATAGTTCGGCATAATAATATAGGATTCTGTAGTTTAGGCTAATCTAGTAACCATTTAACTAGACTTTGTCATGGAGAGGGAAGTTTACTATTATGTGCCTCCGAGTTTCGTCGGTAAGGTCGGAAGTTCGATAAGCAGGCATAAAATAATGGCAAAAAAATGAAAAAAACTGGGACAACTTAAAACTATTACGATAGGTGTCATCTACCAACACGCATTTGACCAACGTGGTAGATGAACGCCTATAGTCCCCCTTAGAATATAATACCCAAGTCCTAGCACTGAGAACAGTTACGAGTCATAATGAACAAGATTATTTAGTAACCAGAAATTGAGTCACCATCACAATATTATCACACATGTATCGTCCATTCACAACAAGGTTACGAAAAAAGAAAAGGGAAAAACTTCCCATGATTCATAATCATGGAATGTCATGTATTTTATCCTAATGACGCATGAGTCACAATCCGTATTAACAAGATCACCTGAGATATGAGTAAATCCTCATTTATCAATGAGTTGTTAACGATTCATTCGAAAAACTTAACTACGATCTTTGGCCGTGCATTATGGTTTGAGCAATATTAATATATATATATATTTTGTTTTAATATAAGGTTCAAAAATCAATTGTAAATATTATTCAGTTTTTTTTTAATATTACAAATAGTAGACAAGTATTTCTGTTTTATAATGATACAGGCGATAAAAACGATAAGAGGTGTTAAGTAAGTTTATGACTTATCTCAATCAAGCACGATTTAAATAATTACACACACATTGCGTGAATGTAAAACTAGCGGAACGAATTATTTAACAAAAATTGTTTCCGAAAACGACGGTTAACGAATGTAATAATCAGTATGATTTAATTTTTCCAATTTGCGATTTCTCGTATTACTTTCACTTAATCGTTTATGTATTTAAACAATTATCCTTTATAGTAATTTATTAAATTATACTTTCAAGTTTTCGAGGAAGAACATTGGACTCTTAGTTACGAAAACTACGTACGTTAACAATTTTGACAATGTAGCAAAATGTATAAATAAAGACTTCTTAACTTAAATAAATATTTAAAAACGTTTAACGGTTGAAAAGGCAAAAGATATTGCCTTATTAATGAATTGCATTTTGAACCATTCATAGTGTTATATTCAAAGATTTACGTCCTAGCGGTAAAGCAGTTCCGCATCAATGCACCACTTGGATACTGAACGTGTGTTGTGGACGAATCAATATCCCTGATGTTGCATTTTGATTGTTTTTTAGCTGCCATTTGACACTCAACGTGCCTTACAGGGGTACCGAGTGTGTAACAAAAGTTTCTTAATTTATTTGTATTGTTTCTTGTATACAGAAAAAAATATGAATATACGAAAGATTAAAGGTTTAACAAATACTACGTAAGGCTATTACTTCTGGGAATGGCATATATTCATCAACAACGTTTTAAGGGGCGTAATATTCCTAGAAAATTATCGTGTTACTTAAAACATATCATTATTTAAGAGACTGATTATTGAAAATGTAATCCTTAATAATGTTACTCCACGTTATAAAAAAAATAAAACTAAAGCCTGTGACTTGTGTTTACGAAACCAATTCTTAAAAATAAAAATAATAATTCTTAAAAACATATTATGATTACGCCCTAAGTGAAGAAACCCCTTAATTGTATACCCATAGTAATAAAACAGCCGCGCCAGCATAACCCCTGCAAATTTGCCCGGGACTCTGCCCAGTCGGATTCCCCAATCCCCAGCCCTATTTCTAAGCTCTAAGCTCGGGCGGTGGTAACTTTGCGATCGTTTTATTAGACATAAACACACAACTCAACAACTTATCTCTTATACGTTACACGTAAAAAAAACATAATAAATACCATTAATATATGTTTTCATTCATACATACCCTCATATAAGAAGTAAATTGGCAAATAAAACTATCGATCACAACATGTAAATCATCAAATAAAATCCCTCTTCAAGACACAATACAGTACAAAGACTGAACTAAATAAAATATACGTCACACACTTTATGTAGTCTGATTTTATAAATCTCACAAATATTTTTGCAAATAAAATGCTAGTCAGAAAATTCTACATTGACGTACACCCTTCCACAATAAAACTCTAATACGGACTGAATTCAGGGTTACCAGTTACCGTTTGCCAAGTGCCATTTAGTAGTTACTTAATTGCCATTTGTTGGTTGCAATTGTGCACATTTATATAGTTACAACTTATCTTTATAAAGTGACAATGTCGTCTTCATTTGGAGCTTGACCTTTTCAGATTAAACGGTACAATACCATTTATCCTAAAGGAATACATAATAAACGACGTTTGTATTGACTAGTTCTTTCAATATTACTGTTCACATGTAGGGATCAGATCTATTCTTCTTACCATGCTCGAATTGCTTTATATTGCAATTGGATGATTTGGTGGATGGATTGAATGTTTTAGGGATATACTGAACATACAGCCTACCTCTTTTTTCTATCTATACTAAACATGTCAGTTGTCATATCTGTCATTAGTCCAAGTCAATGTCAAAATGTAATAGTTACAGCGTACAAATAAAATTCTCTAATCATTTTCATTTTTCATTATTTAATGTCAAACATGGAGGAAGATCGTCTTTTTGATGAGAGAATTTCTATTCGAGAATCTGCTCGCCCCTTAAAAAAATATGGTAGTACGTGTAATCATATGAAAAGGAACGAAGAATATATCAAACATGTAATGACTAAGGGTGACACTTTGCAAGGGATTGCTTTAAAATACGGTGTTACGGTAAGTTGAAATATTCCATTTATTGTTGTTAGATGATTTATCTAATGAACTTGAATTGTCTAAAATTATGCATGTATTTTAGATGGAGAAGATAAGGCGTGCGAATAGACTATTCGCTTCGGATAGTTTATTTTTGAGGGAATACCTTTTAATTCCTGTTACCAAGGATTCTCCATTTTACGAGAATGGAGAGAGAGTAACAGAGATAGCACCTTCAAATCATCGTGCGTCAATCGCAGGAATGCCTACTCGGGATTTTTCCCCTGGTAGTCCAGACGAAAAAGAGTCTTTTGACAATTTCCTAAACAGACTGGACTCATCCATTGCTACGATTAAAAAGCATGTGGAAAAAACCAAGGAGAACAGCGAGTAAGTAATTTTAAAGTTACTTTTATAGCACACAGATGATAAAAGACCAACCTAGTATATGATTTATCATCTATGTATAACCTATTAAAATTTCTGCCAGTATTTTATCATTATCTAACTAAAATTAAGAATTTATGAATACACAAATTGTGTTCTACATTAGATTTAGACCATCAATTTATTATGATATTATATTCCAATTATAAGGCAATGACCTTTAGTATGATTAGATATTGCCTTGCCTATGTTAGATAAAAATAAGCATTTAAGTTAGTGGAGTATCCATAATATTCATATTGCATATCCAACTTTTTAATTTGGTTCTATCTTTTTAATATAAATGTGTCATATGTTACCTTAATGTTAGATGTTAAAAATACTTTAAAACTTAGTGTGTAATACATGTTTTATAAAAAGGTAAGAGAGGTTATTTTATTAGGGAAAGCATTTAGGACTTTTCTGATTATAGACAGGACATGATAGCTCAATTTATATGTGATTTGTTTAATAAACAAGCCCTTTATTTTTAAACCAATTTTTTCTTTATTATTTTTTTCTATCTTACATGTGTTTTATAAATAATTTAAATTCATTGTTTTTTTGCGCTTTTTGGTTTTTTTGGTACCACATTTTTCTTATTAAAAAATTAGGAACTAAATTTCAAGGTGTTTCCAAGTCCATTACGGGCACCTATGCTATTAATTGTTATATGACATAAAAATGTATTCTTACCAGAATCCCATAATATAACAATTTGATTGTAGTGTTTTGATAAACTAACTGGCATTGAGTAAATAAATGACACTGGGAGTCAGGCATTGAGATAATTTTGTTTACCAAGGAGATAACAAACTTTAACATTGGTGTAATTTAAAGCTGCGGAGAATTTAAATATAACTACTTACATCTTCAATCAACAATTTGATGTTGATTGAGACCAACTTCAACATTTAATTTGTGATAAACTTGACTTGTCATTTAAAAATTGCCAATTAAAATTGCTGTTTTCATACAATAAGAAAATATTGATAAATACTAATAAAACAATTATTAAAAATTCTAACAGTTATAAAGTTTTTTATAACAATGTTAAGACCAGCTTATTCCATCTAGATCTGGGCATACCTTTATAAAGATATACAGTGTTATTTAGTTGATGGATTGGATCAAGACAGGAACTGTATATAGTTTTGTCTGCATTCTTTGTCTAAAATTTCTATCCATATGTAATGTGTTCTTGGTAAAAAATGAAGATATGATTTTTTTTATTCATATGAGTCTGCTAGAGCCAGGGTGTGGCCTATAACAAAAAACATGATTTTAAATAAAGAGAAAAATAAAAATAATTAACTTGGCAAAATGAATTTGTACCAATACCTATTTGTGTATTATTATAATTTATTACTTAACAATTTTCAATCACTGTTGTTAACATTTTGAAACTGTAAAAATATAAATAAGTAAGTCATAAAAATGCAGCTAGGCTTCTCCAGCGGCCTCATATATCTTATTTCAATTTGAAGACAAAAATCCTAGTTGTACAATTATCCTTACATTAAAAGGTGTGTAAAGAATGTAATGATTTCGTATCATTATCATATGGTTCCATCGTAACGGCGGGTACTTTCTCTTGCGTTTGCGCCGGTCACATGACTGTCTCGTTTTCTTAGACCAAGTCGGCTTATTTACACTTACATAATAAAGTATGATGTACCCGTTCAAGGGTAATTTTGTATATATGCGTCATAGCCGCCTCAGTGGCTCGGTGATAAAACGCATTGCCTAGCATGCGTTATGATCGAGATATACCCGGTTCGAATCTTGGGAAAGAGGCACAGAGGATTTACTACTTCCTCGAAGAAAGAAGTAGTTTATAAAAGAATTAAGTTGTGAGAAAAGTACCAAAATGTCGAAACGGTCACTTTACACGGTTCGTTAAGTAACGTTACTTTGCTTGTCACATGATTACGGTTTGATTGTGAAGGTCACATTCTTTACACGACGGCTATTTTGAAGTGCTAATTTTTAAAACTACATTTATTAATCGCTGTAGCAAGCAATGTCAGCCTTCGTCAACGGACGCAATTCATCCAGTTTTCCTAGATTTGTATCCGACCTTTCCAGCTTTACGCGTTTAAAACTTAGGCACAGTGACGACGACACAAAGACTTGAGGATTTATTACAGACTCGATATATAAAAAAGTTTAATTTAATGTATCGATAAGGCATTTAAATATTTGAATAATAAATACATATGACTTAAGATTAGAATGCTTTTGCATTTTTATTGTCGCTAAAACATATTTTTTTACATATAACCAGATTCATCCGGTTCGCAGTGCGTACTAATTTATTCGCTATCATTAACACAATTGTAATATTTTAGCTTCTATTACATTGCTAATGGTACTTCTTGATGATGCTGCACTATTATCGTAATTTGGAATCATGATATAGTAATATGACGGAATATGATGAGTTGGGAGTCATGATCTAGTAGGTAATCCGCCTACGGAATTTTGTTGTTCCATACTAACTATATCCCCTTTTCCCTTAAGGTGAAACTTCAGATTTGTCTGCAATACAATGCTTAGTTTGTTATGAACTCATCCTTTTATCTATATATTTCTATACTAATATTATAAATGCAAAGGTAACTCTGTCTGTCTGTCTGGCTTTAACTCCGAAACTACTGGAATGATTTAAATGAAATTTTGTACACAGATATTTTAGAGCCTGAGAAAGGACACAATAGGCTATAGACTTTTTAATGCCAAAAAGGGTTGATAAAGGGATGATTGTATGAAAATTCGTGGTTTTTGTAGCTAGAACAATTAAATTTTTTCTTTGGCTTTTTGGGAATAATGGGAAGTGGAAGTGGGAGTGAGAGTGAGTGTAGGAATGAGAGTGGGAGTTAGAGTAAGATTGATGTGAGGCGAGAATGTTGCGGCAAAGTAGCACTTACAACATAGATTGGCTGCATTTAATGCGCCCTTACATAAATCATAAATAGCCTAAATAATTAAAAACTACCCCAAGTTACTATTCCATGCGGACGAAGGTGCGGGCACAGCTACTTTTATATAAAAAAATATTTTACCATCATCATAATCTTTAAAGAGAATAAGACAGCAAGTTCAACATAGTATTAGCTTCCCTAGGAAAAGGATATGAGGTGTTTACTTTCTTATGTTACAGTAAAGGGATTTTCCACTGTGTGGTTATAATATTTTGAAATAATCACTACTTTGCGTAGTCTTTAAATAGGAAAATCCCTTAAAGTGACGTTACTTATCACTAGCAGGTAAATAAACTTATTTAAATATCGGCTTTGTTGCGGATAATTGTACTAACAGACGCGAGTTGTTATTATTTCATTTCTTTACAGCGTTTTAAAGTTGCTGTATTTAAAAGTAAATAGCGTAGAACCAGTAGCGTAGCTAGGTGGACAAGGGGCCGGTCTACCTAATCCTAAGGCTCAAAAAAGAATCGGGTCCTTTCCCTTTAGCATACTTGAATTAAAAGAACTTCAAAATTATAATACTTAATTTCTCAAATTAAGTTTAGAGGGCCCTATGACTCACCACTTCCCACATGCTACGCCACTAAGTAGAGCTTATTCTTAGACATACTTAGACATCAGGCCTTTACAAATTTCTAATTTCATTCTATCGAACATTTGGTTCTCATTGGCTGGGTGGAAGGTGGTATGGAAAGTTTGTTCATAAAATGTTCCAAAGCTAACAACACGTTGTTATGGTCCGGACCCACTTGCTTTACCGTGTTGTTTTTTTAAGATAGACAAGCAATATAATATGTAGAATTATCTGTTCTCGATGTTTGAAAATCCACAGGCTAAAATGTGAAATTTCATATTGTGGGTTTTCCATCAATAGTACGGTATAATATTTGTAATTTAGTGCCCCCAAAAACTGCTTTTATAGGGTGTGTGTTCCCTTTCTGAAAGAGTAGACGACTCGATCTGCGGTCAACAATGTATTTATAACGCGGTCTTTGTTTTTATTTTGTGATTTATATTTCTGCAGACATATTTATAAACACCAAACTTAACAAAGGAGCTGCGTTATGTAATTACAAAACATTGTAGACTTAGAGCTATTTTTTATTTAACACTTGTTAGTTCATGGTAGTGAAAGATCTTTTATTTAATTCGGTTGGTCAATAAAAAATCTCACCTTTCCCTGTGGGGCATGGGACGAACACATTTCTGCGTCCGCTTCATTGTTAGTATGATTTGGAGACGAGTTGATCAGTTGCTACAGAGGATTTACTGTTTCCCCAAAATAGAATCTGTCGTCATAAGTAATAAAGTTGTTTAAAAGATTTCTTTAATGACAAGAATGGAATGATATTAATTGCTCCTTAGGTCATTAAATTCAAAAAATGTATTAGATTATAAGACATGTTGAAAAAATTCAGACTGAGTTTCTTTAGTGTTTTTCTCGGTTATGTTGCTCTTTTAAACACTCAAAATCTCTTGAACGGACGGACAAACATATTTTTTTTTAAGAATCTAAATATTTTTGTATATTTTGTAGAGAAAAAAGTATATTTTATTTAATTTTTATTTTTACAACTACTGAGCTACGGAGACAGTAATAAATGGGTTTTTAATTTTTTATCTACGCGTTAGTTAAGATATTATAAACTTCACACCAAAGTGATTCAGACGTGATAATCAGCGCTGTACTACATAAAAAACATATTTTTTTTTCTCAACGACTTATTGTAATCCTTATTAGAAAGGTAGGAATTAGTTTTCTCCATTATTCATGGAATCATAATCCGGTAATAGTTTTATTATTTTTTCGTAAAAATTGTAGTTAATTTTGCTATATACTCCCGATAGTCGTGGAATTTTTACCACCTGTTTATTCATTACGTATTAGATCGATCATGACGGTTTAATAATTCGCTTACATATTATAGGGGTTAGATTACTCACTACAAATAAAGTATGTAGTTTATCTCCACAAACATCAAATCTAAAGATCGAATCAATAATATTTTCGTGCATAGAAGTGGTGAGAACGTGACTGGCTAGCCGCCAATAAATAATGAGTAAGCAGTTAAAATTAATTCATTTAATGCAATTATGAAAAACTTAAAACCAACTTTCAAGGTCGCTGTATAGTCTATGAATTTTGTGATACATTTCCGGACACAAAATTCGAATAAATAATGTTTTTATAGACGTTAAGTTTCGGCTTTACGATCTTGTCTGAACACATGAGTTAGATTTTAGCTTAAAATGACCTTTATCACAACGGTGTACGGTTTCAAATTGTCCGGGTCAACCAATTGTGTTGGTCGTCGGTTATGAATCTATAAATAAGTATAACTGTGTGGGATGGATATAGTCGTCTTATCTGATAAACGGTGATCCTTATTAGCCCACGCGCATACGATAGCAGGAGCATAGGTTTCAATTGTGCTATTTACGATGGCGTGGAGTGTCACTTGTATTGGCTTTTACCAACATAATGGCTTATCATTTCTGCGGCATAAGCATTTATTACAGACGAGGAGGTTTTGTCTACCAATTATTGCGTTTCGATGTTCCGTCGCTAAAATATCACTCGTTCGTGTATTAGCGATTTTTTTCAAAATGGACCTTTTGTTCAAAATGAGGAACAATGTCGAATTATCAGTATCACATGTCTTAAACATACCCATAGCATGTTAAATTTCAAAGATTAATCCTTGAAATACCTTTTTATTATGGACCCTATTGGTTAAATAATGTTAGTTAGTCTAGTTCTTTAGTGTATTTAATGTATAACGATCCTACGGCATTAAATGTCAATGACTTTAATATTTAAATAAATCTGATAAAACGAAACACTTCTTGGATTCTGCGATTGTACGATAAGCATCCTCGTGATTTGCGATATTTTTAAAATTTTTGAGATATCGGACTAGCTGTTATTTGCAAGGCGATCTTGATGGGACGTTGTAAAGGACTTTTTAAAAAGACCCGATTTATGGTCATACAAAAAATATATAGTATATTATTAAGATGTTTACTTGTTTGATAGCTCAGTTTTGGAACCCTACAGGTTGGACACTGACTGTTCAGCTTGTGGAGCTGCCACCCTTGATATAAATAATGCCGAAGTGCGAAATAGAAAAAGTATTTTCAATTTAACAAATAATATACAGGCGAGGCTTTAACCACAACCAACAACGGGCCCTGACGTTAGAGCCATAGTGCATTGTAGTATCGACCCAAAAATACATAAATTTGACAATATCTTCCAGATTCGTCAACGAATTCGAAGACGACTTCGTGCGACATCGGCCGACTGCGAGGCTTCGGCAGTCGGCCTCGATGGGTGCGTCTACCTCGTACAATGAGGTGATACCGCCGCCCTTGCCGCCGCCGCCCTCGGGCCTGACTCACGGCCGCCGGGTAGACAGTTCCCTGAAACGACTGGAGAGGGCGCACGATGATCTGTTTCAGTTGTAGCGCCCGCGACTGCGCAGGTAAGACCAGAGCATAGTCAATAATTTCTTTTAAATACATATACACAATGTCACCAGACTTATACGTAGACAGAATAATAATAAAACTATATATGTATATATATATTGAAGAATTAAAATTTTTATTTATATAAAACACTTTAAAGTATGGAAACGTGCAATATATTAGTTAAATTTATTTTATCTACGGCCTACGGCACAGTTGTGGTCACAGTCAAGTGAGTTAAAATGTTTTATTTACAGGGGAGCGTAAAGAACAAACAGACAAAAATACATACAATCATTGTAGTGTAGCTCTGTCAAATGTTTTTACTATATCGAAAAACAAACAAAAAATACTGCACTTAAAATATCTCGCATATTTTAACAAAATTTTGTAAACAATAATATATTAAAATGTGGTAAGTTTGGCGGCAATCTATGGAAGGTTCGTAGGTTCATTTAGTGTTCAAATGAAAAAGTTGTGGATTTCCAAATGTCCAAACTAAGGTATTGTAGGTCTGAGGTGTCCTATTTAATTTCCACGAAGGTTTACTTTTTACAACGTCCCAGAGAGGCGGTAATTGCACGCTATTGTAATTAAATTTTTATAATTACTATGTCCCTCGACAATGTAGAATATATTAACAACATCGAAGCAAAACTACTGCGGCACGTTGACCCTTTCTATTTACATTAAAAGGATAAGCGGTAATAAATACAAAATTACTTAATATATTTAAGAGAGAGAGAAATAAATTTATTTACTACTACTATAAGCCACACAACGTTTATAAGACTCATTACTAAACATAACAATAAAAGATAATTTAATTTAATCTCAACAGTCTAAAATAATGTTGTGTGCTGCCCGTTGGTAGAATAAGATGTTACTCAGCTTATATCAGGCCCTTTGTTGACCTGAAACTGATTATTATATTTAAAACTATGTTTAATAATAAAAAAAAATATCAATATTATATTTAAAAAACTTTAAGTTGTCGATACTTTTTATTAAATATTGTGGATGTAAACGCGAGTTTAACGGTTTAAAAAGCGAAATATTTTTCTTAATTTATTTTAACTACGGCCCAACGTTGCAGCAGCCATGTTCAGTAGCTGACAGCTGACTGTTACTGCAGTAAAATCTGCTATCAGCGTTGTTAACAATTAAGTGTTTTATTTAAGTAATTTTTTTTTGGCATCAAATTTTGTTATAGCAAACCTCTCATCTTTATAAATTTTAGCTCTTCAAACAAACTCTTCAGCTTATATATTAGTATGGATAATTGAAAATAAAAGAAAAAAGATATAGTGAATTTCCAAGACATACGAAATGATATATAGAAAAAAAAATTTCCCTTGTATATTTTCAGATATGCGCGTTTCCACTGAGCATGATGTCGCCTCCACGGCAGCGCGTGCGCAATTAAGATCTTATGCGGAGCAGCGTACGTCCATATTGTAACATATGCCACGATCGTCAACTGTCAAGTACATTGGAGAAGTTCACCGCGAGTGATATTAGATAGGTAATGATCTGTTATATACTGTGTAGTGACTGTACCTCTGAGGTAAATATAACAATATTTTCGATTACTTTTTACACAGCTTAAATAATTTTTAAACTATAGTGTATATATAATAACACTAATTTTGTATTCTTATTCACGTTAAACATATTAATTGCTATGTCTATTTTATATATTGGTGTGTGCAAAATGTTATTTTATTTACCTCGCAGGGAATAATTTTTAATCATATCTTTCATTTGTTATTCGAGTCTTGCCATTGTAATACTGTCAAGGACAACGTCAAGAAGAGGAGAGAATGATGCCTATGACAATTTTTACACGTGTTTAAAAAATACTATAGCATATCTGTCTTGATATTAACACGTTGCGAATGAACAATTTATATTATGTCTGTATTTAATGTGTAAATAAGTAAATATGTTGTATACAAAATGAGCCCATTTACTGATCAAACGTTATCGACATTCATAAATTCAAGAGAATATAATTCAGCTGCCATTCCAAATTCGATTAAATTGCTTATCGGCCCAGCATAGGTTTAATGTTTGGAGTATTTGTATAAAAATCCCTGATTAATTACAATACAATAAATTTGGTGGTTTTCATAACTTTTTTAATCAGTTACAGTGAACTGACGATAGAGGGCACACTTATTATTAAATACCGTCTGTAGTTGTCGCGAGTAGTACACCTTTAAGTAAAACAATTTAACGGTTAAAACGCGAAATATATAAGTAAAGCTGATTTGATAATTATGTTAATTATTACCAAAGTCATGAAGATGTTTGTCATTATAGGCTTTCGATCGTCCGAGAGTATACTATTAATTTCGTTGTAAGTTATTTAAAGATTATTTAAGTAACCAAACGTATTTAGTGCATTTAGACATAAACTGCTTTTGAGATAAGTCCTAAACTTGATTTGTTTAACACGAGTTTTGTGTTTCACATAATGGAGTATTTATAAATGTTGGAAGATTTTACGAAGGGTACATGAAATCACTTATAGTGATTGATATATTCTTACAATCTGTTTAAATTTATTTTAGATTATAAAAATACAATGGCGGTAGTCGAACGTAGTATGTTGGATGTCTCTCCCGTTGACTTACTCAAGTCCTTTTTTATGTAAATCCTGTTAGATCCCACGAGCGTTGAGATTATTCAAGTACGTTTTACTAAATTATTAGTAATAATACGTTACTGTTCTTATCTGATTCTAATACGGTATAATATAATGATACTAAATTCGATTACTCGAAAACAATAGATTAGTTATGTTATTCTATTAATGTGAATAATTATAGATATTCCCATATATTTATCGTTTAGATTTGCTTTAAAACATATTAAGGGAAGTCATATGCGCGATATACATATGAAAGTTAATTATTTATCAATATTAAAAATGAAAAGGCACTAATTAAAATAATTATCTGTGTTAAAATTAATGAATGTTGAGCTTGATATATTGTTATATAAAGATAAGTTGTAATAACGATAATGTACATAAGCGTGAGTCATCTATACATAAATCATGTAAAATTTATACATACATAGAGTATGCATGTTTTATTTAATTTTATTTTCTATAAAATGTATAAAAGCTGTTTGTTTACCAAAATTATCGCTTTATAAAGTTTACAAAAAATGAATAAAACGATTGAAAACTTTCATGTTTGATATTTTATTTTTGAATTTAAATTTGGACAAAATGGCGTCTCTCTTATCTCTTACAAAATCTTGTGTCGTACATACATAATGCAAATCATTGTTTTTTGGGCTGTTCGGCCGACGTGAGCGAGAAGAGGTTCTCGACGTTTCGCCACCACGAGCGGACGACACCATCAGATGTTAGTTCCTCGATTGCTCAAAGAACTGATAACGAGAAAGCCCTACACAATTAATTATACATAATATTTAACTTTGCTCTCATTTCACATATATATTTGGTGTGGTGGATAGATCATATGTTAGACAAAGGTGATTTGCTATGTAAGAATAAAACTCAATTGTATTTCGAAAATGGTTATTTCAATAAAAAAACTTACATTGTATATTACTACAAATTTTTAATTTGTTGGACATATTCGCACATGGTAATTATTATGCCTTCTATTATACAAAAATGATATTTCATTCTTGTTTTTTAAGTCAGTATGACATTTTTATTTGTAAGTAGAATTTACAGGAATATTTCTATAAAACTTATATGTAAACATGATGTGCACCATAAGTGCATACTTTCTATAATAACATATAATGAGAATAGTTAACATAAAATTTCTTATCACTTTGTAAAATACTTTCGATCACTTATACACGATGCTAAAATATTGTGTTAATAAATAAGACTTAAATGAAATTATGATACGTATTATGCCATTTCAAATTATCACAATGTGGTAACATCACATTTTGAGATTACATTTTAAAATCAATATTTATTTAAGTAATATGTGAAATCTTAAAGCGATGGTCGAACGAAATAATTTGGTTAGTAAGAATTAAAAATATATATTTTATTGACGGTGTACATATAATTTTTATTGTATTTTACAGTTTCTTGGCCTCGCGGCAACCATGGTAACCAATATAACTGTAAGGCGGAAGAAATGTTTAGAAGTGAAAAATTTTGTATTAAATTTACTGAAATCAATTAAAATTTTCCCGTATTAAATACAATCTTAACGTTAATTTCAGTCGGTTTTTATTATTCTTAATAAACTTGGCCTACTTAAAAAACTAAACATAACTAGGTGGGCGCTTCTTGTATTTGATTACTCTCTTTTCTTTTATTTCTATTTAATAGAAAATCTAGATCGTGCGATATCTTATGTATCATTTGGTCCGTTTCAGACGTATTGTACAATTCATTCCATTTCCTATTTACAAATTCGATATCCGATTTCGTTTGTATCTCATCAGCCGGTAAAGATACAGTGGATGCGAATGCTTTAGGTTTTTTAAGGCAGCTCTTTATTGGAAATGCGATTTTGGACACATCAGGATTGGATTGGACGCACAATGAGCAAGATTCTTGAGTAAAGTTCAAGAAATTCGTTTTACAACTCCTGAACGAGGGTGTCCTTTCCAAACCGTGTGTATTGAGCAGACAAGGTAGTCTAATTTCTCTTGGTACACTTAGTTCTACATAAGCAGTTCCGAGGTGATCAGGTTGAGGTATGAGATCGCAGAGAGCACGTGTCGTGACTTGGTTTGGTCCATACTTTTGAGTATTGAGGACTGCAGCTTTGCATTCGACAGATTGAACTATGTCTGCGCGGCTGTCTTCTTGCGACAGCGATGAAAGATTTCTGAAAAAAAAACTTAATGTCTATTATCTTCTTTAGATGTTATAAGGTTGGGGTATTACACTTACTTATCAAGTAGAATGTTTGTCTGTTCTTCTCTCATAAAAAAGGTTTAGGGATCTATAAATTTTCTTGGTCCACTGCAATTTGAAAACTACTTACAGTATTGTCTAAACACTACGCTCCTAACTTAATCCTTCATTAGAAAGTTGTATCTGCGCATGGGCAAAAGATTTACCTTATTTTGGAGGGGCTCTCGAATCGCCAATAGGACGACATCGGCGTGATTGGCGATGAAGACTCGAGTCCCATACCACCTCGGCTCTCGACCTCGCATCCTTGCTTAATGTACACTGAAGAAGGGGGTTATGATAGTACGCACCTAAGTACATCGTTACTATTTTTATTAAGAAAAGGTGATGATGGATGTGAATCACTTACGTAAAAAATGTAAAGTACAAAACAGACAAACAATAACAACGGAACTAAACAAATATACCTAAAACAGTACTAACAGCTAAGTGTGGTGTCTCCACGTTGTTTTCTGCAGCTTTTGGAAGGCTGCGACATAAATCTGCGCACGAACCGCTTGCTTTCGCCATCGCAGAGAACGTAGCAGATAAACATGGCAAGCCCCTGTACAAAAAACACATCCATATTAATGGAGAAGCAGCTATCTTTATCTTTTAATATGCAAAGGTTCGTAATATTATGTTTATTATAACACTTTTTCGTGAAAAGACAGTGCTTGTTTGATAAGAATATCGCCCAAAAAAATACTATAGACTTATTTTTTTATCACCGCTGAATAAACGACAAACTGAAAAATGTGACGTTAGTAACCTATTTTAATGTACTTGATTTTTCAATAACCTCGCATTTAGTCTATACTAATATAACGTTTGTTTGTTTGAAAGCGCTAATCTCAGGAACTACTGGTTCGAATTGTTCTGTAAATAATCTAAATATCCGCGACAGTGTTTATATTTTATGATTAAATCATAAGAAAGACGGGACGTCGAGGACCTCGTTTGCAACAGCTAGTTGTAAATATTATAATTGCCATTTTGTGCTGCAAGGTCGGCCGTATAAACCTTTTACTATGTTGAGTTTGCACTTTTATTAACTCACATTGATAAGAGCAGCAGCGGAAAGAACAGCAACGAGCGTTATACTCCGTTCGCCCGGCTGCACATACGCTATACAGGTCACTTGGGCTGCAGTCGTCGTCAATAGCAGGATCAGAGTATTGCGGACTATACGCACTCTGAAATAATGTGATGAAGCCTATACAGTTTTCTTTTTTGGACGGATAGACTAATCTATGTCCAGCCGACACGCAAATGTCATTTTGACGACACAAGAAAATATCAGATCTAAAAAGGCGACGGGTTCGTTGGTGCAATGGTAGCAATGTATTGCTAATAATCAATGGGCCGTGGGTTCGATCCCCACCGGATCCAACATATTTCAAATCAATTTATAAGTTTTCTAAAACATGTCAAGTTTAATCGCGTTTCGGTTTCACCAACCATCTAGAAAACCCCATGGTTGTCAGTCCTCTTTTATCATAAAAAACCGTTGTAAATGGTATTTTATTGGATTAATAAAAAAAATTGACTCATCATTTACGAAGCCACGTTCTAATGCATGAAATAACCTTTACCTAAAAGAAACAAATACCTATCGCTGAAATAAGTTCGCCGTTCAGCCGGCACTTTGCGCATAATGATGCGCAGGCGTAACGCCGCGCATAGTGCTAGAGCGAGACAGAGCAGCGTGAGCAGTGCACAACCTGTAGCACAGACAATTTGTGCAGCAGTACCCAGTTGTAATGGTTGACCGCCCCAAAGACGGGCACTTAAACAGGCAAGTGTACTGAAACCTAAAATAAATAAAAATTGGTTTATTGTTGTTAATATTTACGCACGGGGAGACGCCCCATGACTACGGTTGCTGCAGAGGAAACGAAACGTTAAAACAATTTGTAAATAAGTTTAACAAATATATTTCGCGTTTTAAAACGAGTAAAATACAGACAGTATTTAACATTGTTATTTCCTCGGTTCAGTCCACACTGCCGGCAAGGGCGGGTACAGCTTTTGCGCCAGGAGGGGGTCACACAGTTGTGGTCAAGCCAAGAACTTATTTTAATTTTGGTTTATGTAAATAATTATATATAATGGTAATAGATACAAGTAAAAATTTGGTATTTTAATAATGTACGTACCTACGTATTAATATTTTTGAGTATAGTACCTACTATACTCAAAAATATTAATTCGTTATTGGACATTTGATAAACTTAACACATAATAACTTGTACTTAAATAACTTTAATTACAAGAGTTACGTAATTCAAAAAAAAATATATATCCAAAAGTCGTCAGGTTCAACATCCAATGAGAGTCATGGTGGTCAGAATCTCCTTGGATTCGTCATAAGCTGACGCCGTGTCCGTGTCCGTATATTGTGGTTATTAGAGATTCTTCATGGGTTCTAAGAATTGTTACTTACCAGCAAGTATTCCTACAGAGCTAGCGCGCTGAGCTCGGCCAGCCAGTTCAGCTTGCAGTAACAGTGGTTGAGCACAAAGGGCTGCGCAGGCGATACACCAAAACGCTGCACATAACCACCCGAACGGACCTGGACAGGACTCTTCCTGAAAGGTACAAATAAGTTTAAGTGAGCCACATTATAAAAGTAGGATTAAAAGACAATATACGTCCGATTTAACTTTACATTCTGAAGTTTCTTTTAGTTCTTTATTCTTGATAGAAGATAAAATACCCCAGCCATATAACATTTAAGCAAGATGCGACCTATTTCGGCTTTAGATATTCGGTTATCCACGGGCCGAAACGTGATTACACTTCACGGCATCTGAGGACCGTGGTTTGTGATGCGGGTGGAACTTTGATAAGAACACATGTTGGATTCGGTGGCGATGGAGCCCACAACATGTTGGTTATACCTTGATACCAGACGACGTCCCTGATAGAAAAATAATAATAATAATTTGATTTACTTTAAGGCCTTCTTCAGTGTTAAAAATCTGATTTGGAAAGCCAGAAGGTAAATCAAGCTAACCCATAGATATTACGTAACTCTTTTAATCTATAGTCAATTCCAAAAGCATAAATACCTATTATACATATTCACCTGCCTAGTATCACATTCCAAAAGCGTCAATAAGGCAGCTCCATTAAATGCAGCAGTTACAACCTTCAAAACTCCTGGAAGTCTAGAGCTGGTTGTATTTAGCAGTGTAATAAGCTGAAGGACAGCAGCAATAAGACACATCGCACCGCCTAAGCCTACTGTCACTTTGACAATCTCGCCCAGGTCCTTTTCCGCATCTGTCTAGAAGAATGGTCTTATTACAACAGTGTAAATCGTACAACAGGATATGCCGTTACAGTAGTTTGTCCATCTACTGGTTCCATTTAGCTCCATGTATCGGTTTAAAACGCGAAAATTTAATATTACTAAAGTAAACGAGAGGACACCGTGAGTCTGTTCTATGACTACCGAGTTTCCGAATACCAACTAAAACGAAATAGATGGCACTAGCTTAGTAGTTTTGACTTTGAAATTGACTGTTGTAAAGGATCCGAAATGTCAGATTAAAATCAATGTTAATACTAAAATATTACGTGTTAAAAACCGTGTTAGTTTTATTTACATACAAGAAGTTATGTAAAATGACCGCGATAGCCTTTGAAAATTCTCCACGCCCTCATTATTCATGTATGTATGTATAAAATTGAGTGTATATGGAGTGGTACTAATCAATAATAACACTGGTTAAATTCGATTAATCATCGCATTGATATTTAGGTCTTGATGTTAACTTTCTTACTTTATGGTATCAATGGTTAGAAGTTAAAATGTCAATCTATCTGTGAATATAGAAACACAAAACTTCAAAAATTTTAACTGTCAGTTATGATTGTCCCATCTAGTGTAAGGTTAGTTAAATATTGGGGCCGGCCAGCTTTATTTTTCTCGGTGACTTGGTGTCAGTATATATATTACGGGTCATTTTGTTCGACTCTTATACTCACGAGTGTAGAACGCGCTACCGTAAACAGCGCATATGTACCGAGTCCTCTACATCGACAGGATACTCGGCTTGCTTCAGGAACTTTGACTTCACACGCATTTATATTCCAAGTAGACGGGTCATTTGGTGTTCTCAATGCACAAGCCAATTTCGACTCTAAAAATAAACAATAAAAGCATCAACAAAACTATTAAATACTGTCTATAGTTTACGCGAGTAATACACATTTAAATAAAACACTTTAACGGTTTAAAACGCGATATATTAGTTAAACTTATTTGAAAATGATTTTTAACTTCGGCCCGACGTTTCGGACGCTTTGCAGCAGCCGTGGTCACGGGGAGACCACGGCTAACTACAACTGCTAGCCACGTTTAACTAATATATCGCGTTTTAAACCGTTAAAGTGTTTTATTTTTAAAACTATTAAAAATGTCGGATTTTTGTTCAAACCTATTAATTTTCACTTGTCCCGCACAGAAAGAAGGAAGCTATACTGCATGCTAATTCTGTGCGAGATGGAGTACCTAACATGAAAATGAACCAAAAATTTAATTAAAATACTTTAAACGGTTTAAAACGCAAATTATTCGCTAGCTCTAGCCAATATTCTGTTTAACTTTATTAGTGACGTCAGCTACTGAAAACATCCGAAACCTCGGTTACAATATATTTTTAAATAAAACGCATTTAATGAAATGCGTTTTATTTAAATGTGCACTGCTCTCGTAATCTACAGACTTATTTCCATCTAATACAGACAATTTTTAATGTACCAACAAGTATTTTTGACATAGTTGCGGTTTACCTATAGCAGTATAATTTTTTGAATGCGTGAACAATAGGGTGACAGTATACTGAGTATCATCTTGTCTATCAGCATGGATCTGGGATTGCGGTGAAGCCATGTGGTACTCTACTTCACGTCCGCCCCTGCAACAGACAATTAATAAGTAGTCTTAATTCATACAGGGAACAGTCGAATGTTTACAGTTTTCTTTTTACCCATATAGGAATTTTAAATAACACTAACATTGAAGAATACAGAATAAGAACTAACTTAAGTGAATTAAATTAGTTTTTAGTTCAAGTTGGTTTTTTAAGGCCTTGTTGATCGAATGGTAGCAACGGTTAATAATTGAATTAACAAGTGGTTTCGATCCCCACTGTGTCCAATATATTTTGTTCGTCCCCGTTTATAATATTTCTGAGAAATAGTCAGATATATCTTTTGGAAATCTGTATATTTAAAAAACCGTAAACTTTTTTAAAGCGTTTCAGTTTCAGTCTGTATTCACCTAAAGACAAAATAGGTCAACCACGCATCCACGCTCGTTGTGATGTTATATTGTTCTTCAACAATATAACATCACAACGAGCGTGGATGCTTCTATTCTCACCTTCCATCAAGGGAACCTTGCATGATTGTTTGTCGTCCTCTAACAAAAAAAAAACGGATTTTAACCTGTTTAATGGTTTTATTTAATACTCACTTCATTTCAATAGATCTTCTTAAGGAAGGCAAGCGCGACGATAGAGCTTCGTAAGTAACAAGTGCCATAGATACATTTCCTACAGCCCCAATAATTTCTACGTTCATAGAACCCAGCAACCATTCTTCGGAACGAGGATTTAGTAAAAATTTGAAGTACGCGGCATCTTGAACCAATGTGCCTTGCAAATTGTACTCATGACCTTTGAACACTACGTCCCTTTTCATTGATGCCGTGTCTACTATTGCACTTTGCAATTCGTAAATTTTCTGAAAATATTGTTTAAATGTATCGTATAAAATAGTTGGCTTCCAAATTAAAAAAGAATTATGTGTTTTCATCAGAAATTTTATAAATATAGTACTACTTGTGTTGATTTGAATATTGTTAAAAAAGTATTTGTTAAAATAAGAAAGTACCTGTTCATCCAAAAACCCATCAGGATTTTTTAATAACGTATCGTAAATCTTTAATAGCGGTTCAGTGCTCAGAATTCTATCAGATTTCCTGGCTACCGATGAGCGAAGGTAGCTCAGAATATTCGTAGCGTGACGTAGGGGCACAGTAGAAGCCCCGGGGTGTCCGGGTAGCGATCTTAAAACTGCGCCGTACTGACGAACCACGTCATATACCGACACCCAGGAGTATCCATACGATATTCGTGTAAACTGAAATGATAAGTGTAACATTAATTTTTATCATCTTCGTGGCTCGATAATAAACGCTTTGTCTGGCTTTGCGTTGCGCAAGAGTTCTTGGGTTTGAATCCTAGGGAAATATTATAATAAGTTGTTCGGAAAGTAATTTCGTTTTTTCCCGCCAGAGGACTTAATTACGTTTTTACGAAACTAACTTCACACTTAAGCCGCATAACCATTATATGTCTTGAGAGCTGATATTGCAAGGCTTGTGTGTGAAAAAGTTCTATTAATTCTACACAGCAGTTTTAGGTGAGAGCAATAAGCAGCATTTTCGTCATATTTTACTTTTTTGCTTCAAAAAAGGTAAAATCCTATCCAAGCGAGAAAAAAATTGACGGATGTGTATAGAGAAGTCGTGTTAATAGTGCGCCAGTGCCAGAACTGCTTTGCAAAATTTCGATCCGGCAATTTTGATGTCGAAGATGCACCACGGTCTGGAAGGCCGGTCGAAGCTGACAAAGACGCGATAAAGGCATTATACAAATCGGCGAATAACCACACGAGATGGCAAAATGTATTAGGCCAGAATGGCCAATATATAATTTAATAAAATATTTATTCATTATACGAAAACTGTTTTTCATGTTCCCCAAAAAAAAACGAAGTAACTTTCCGAACAACCTAATAGTTTTGATGAGAAACGAAAGTCTGATATTACCTCCTTGCCTGTTAAGAAATATGACCAATGAAACAGATATAGAAATATGTTAGCCATATATTCCCTTCTAATTTTAATAGAGATTTTAGCAATGATAAGTCGCGCTAGTTGTGTGTTACCTGTTCGTATATATCTTGCAACGAATCATCGATGCATCCAGAAAAATTGGGTTGAGTCCATTTCACACCGACTTGGCTGGTTTTTGGCTCGCAGAATCTAAACAACATATTCGCATTATTCAATTTCATTATTTCGGATATTTCAAGTTTATAGATTCAACAGATATGTACAACAAAATTCATATGAATTTTACATAGTGATAGGCCATTCATTATTAGAATTACTTATACCAGCAACTTTTTTTTTAATGATATATAGGAGAGATGTGGCATGGGGGTTTCACTTGATGGTAGGTGATATACCCCAGCCTATAGCATCTAAACAAGTTGCGCTGTCGACCTATTTTGGCTTTGGATATTCGGAAATCCACAGAAACCGAAACGCGATTAAGCTTCACGGCTTTTTCATCTGTAGACGATGGTTCGACCCGGACGGAATGTCTATATTCCTACCATCCATTTAATATCCAGGTTTCTAGGCGAAGTCCAGCATGTTTCAGAAATTATAAATTGATAGATTAGAAACATGTTATACCACCGGGGGATCGAACTCTGTTGATCATTAGCCATACTTTGCGACCATTAGACCAACGAGGCCGTCAAACAACTGTCCTTAAAAATAAGCAAATAAAGCTATACCTAGTAGTTTCCCCGGTATATCCAGTAGGGCAGTTAGATACAGCATGTGCCCCTGGGGCGGTTTGTGGCCACCGTATTCCGTTTGAAGCTTCGCTTTGGCAAATGTTATCTGTGGAACTGACAGCCCAAACTGTCACCGCCTTTGAGTTAGTACCAGCCGCTGAAGACACTTGACAGCTGTATTCACCTGATTTCTAAAAGTTATGTACTTTTAGATAACTTGAATTTGTTTACAATTATATGAGTATAATTTTGAGGAGTGTAGAAGGTTGAATGACTATGCGCTATTGATATGCTAATTGGAATGAAGAGAACTGAGCGACAATATATTTTGGGTTCATTAGTGGGAAATCATATTAAAAACTTTTGGAGGTATTGCTTTCACGCTCAAAAGCCTTAAAATAAATGGAATCATTAAGTGAAATACATAAGGCGGTATTTAGTGTAAAAGGTTATTAAATGCTGTCTGTAGTTTACATTGTCTGCAGTGGTTACACAGTCTGTAGTTATTGGTACAGATGGCGTTAACTGTTTTTAATTTAATGTCAGAGACACCCTCCAGTAGTCTCCCTGTGACCACGGTTGCTGCAAAGCATTTGAAACGTCGAGCCGTTGTTAAAATAAGTTTTACTAATATATATCGATTTAAACCGTTAAAGTGTTTTATTTAAAGATGTATTAACGTAAACCTATCTTTACCTGAACATTGTACAGTTTAAGTACGCTTCCTGCGGGATAAAGGTCTTCCCATACTTCACGCCCTGGAGCAAGAGCGAGAAGGCTCTTTTCCCGAGCCCAGCTGAAGCCTAAAGTCCCGTGCATTCTACCAGCTCCAGCCAAGCATGTGATACTAACATTATCGCCCTGAAATAAAGAGTACGCTTAGATCGCTCTCGAGACTTATCTTTCAGCTAGCTAACATCATACAAAGTTGTGATTGTCTTTTGTTTATACCTATTTCCGATACGTTTACTAAAGAAATTAAGGGTAGCATGGGGCACAAATAATTATTTTGTCTCCGATGGGTCACACTAAATGCGTGAGCAAAGTTTTTAGTATGTTATGTCTCTATAAAGTTGTATTGTGGTCAAGAACTGTAACCATTGTGTGGTATTCCCAAATTATAATAGGAAAGACTATGTCCCTTGTATTAAAAAAATAATATTTTGCACTTGTAGCTTAAAAATTTAATTCAGATATAAAAAAAAATCGATGACCGATTTCAAAACATCACTATTCTAGATAGATTTCATTAGCATTGCTATTAGTACCACTAATTTACGACGAATTATGTGCCAGGAGTTCCTTACTTTATTCAGTGTAAGCGTGGATGGAACTAGGATGATATTTGGTGGTCGGAAAACGGTAAGTCGCAAGGCACTACACCTCCTTCGGCCGGCATCTTCCGCCGCGCAAGACCACTTGCCACTGTCCAGCTTTTTGGCTTCAGATATGCCAAGGACAGTCATGCGACGACCCAATGCGTCTTCGGCGACCGTACGAGTCCAAATATCCCTAGAAATTATAAAAGGTTAAGTCTCTAGACAATATTTTAATTAAAGTATTAATGTACCTAAAGCTTACAAAATAATAACTCATTTTATTAAGTGTTGCCTGAACTTAACACGACTTGCAGCCGCATTGCAGCAAAGAATCCAAAACGTCAGGTGTAATTACATTAAATTAACTAATAAATTTCGCGTTTTAAACCGCTAAGATTGTTTTATTTGGACCTCGTTTATGATTGGAAAAGCGTAAACTGTTGCGTACATACATACTGACAAAACCCTTCCTTTCGGTTTCGATTCCATGCAATATCTAAGTTCATATTTATGATTAGCAATATCAATGCTCCGAAATACCTGGAGGTACCGTTAAAGTTGATCTTCACCCCGTCTTTATACCAAGTGAATGTAATATCTGGAGAGCCGTAAGCCATGCAGCTCAATATAAACTCGCCGCCTTCCCAAACTTCTGGATGTTGGTTTATTATCAGTTTCTGTGGAAGAATTGACAGTGTAGAACTAATAAGCAGCAAACGCTGTGTCATCATATTTTTTTTATCTAATTAGTTATCAAAATTATTAAATTATATTCATATTAAATATGCAAAGCCAAAATACACGGAAAGCGCATCTTGCGAAGATGACTGGGGATTTCCACCTACCTCATCAAAAAAAATCATAATGCCATTATGTACATTTTGATAAAATGTTTATAATCGGCAAATTACATCTATAAGTATTTGGGCATAGTTTCCAAGTTCCCAAATTCGAGTAACAGTTCATTGGATTAGATTGCACCACTGTTGGGATAATAGAGGCGCTAACTCAAATTAACGAGATAAATGTCTGGCTGTAAGCCAGATGTAATTAGGCCACTTCTCAAGGAGTGCGCGTTGAAAATATTTAAAGTTTCAGGGCGTTTCAAATGGCCGTACATTGGGAGTTTTATTGTGTACGCTGCACTCCAATATAAGTAGCGGTTAACCAATTATTTCATAGTGCACACACTCACGGAATGCCTTTATTTGAAAAAGGAATACCGTGTTTTTTAGAGCTACTTCAGTTTTTAGGCTCGGCCGTCGTAATTCAGAAATGGTCGTCGACGTTTCGCCGTCTTTTCTTAGTCGAGGAATGCGCAACACCTATTATAAACTTTTTATACTAAAACGACGTAGTTAAAATAATTTTCAACCTTTTAAACCGTTAAAGTGTTTTATTTAAATATTATTCTATTGATTATTTTTCTGGTTAAAAATAAGAACATCCGACTGTCTTCACTAATCTCATTTTGGATCGTATATTTTGTTTTCATTGAATTTTATTTTTACTTACGTGTAGACTCAACGCTGGTTGCATGTCAAAGTGCAGTGAGACTGGCAAGAGTCGAAGTGATTCTGTGTTAACTCGGGTGGCGGCTAGTCGTGCAAAAGCTGTGCGTACAGAACCCGCTTCTCGACGTAGACCCCACACTCGGAGCCAGACAGATCTGCTACCACTTGCGTCTGCTGAGCTGAAATGTTCAACAACTTCAAAAACCACGTTCTTGCTGTTCTAAGAGTAATTTGCGCGATACACAATGTTTACTCGGTGTTTAAAGTTTTTTCTAATTAGTTTCGACGGTTTGAAACGTGTTATAAATTACGAGGTGACTATCCGAGGGAATAAAGCACTAGCAGAGATTGAGTTTTAACCGTGATGTGTGACTCGCATTTACGTCGTCAAGAAAAATATATAACTTAAGTTTCGTAAAAAAATATACTAGAGTGAAACAATTCTCTTGCCGTAAAAATTATACCAGTTTCTTTTCGAATCTGGAGCTTAATAGTTAACCGCGTCGCCTGTTGCGTTAAGCGCGAGAGGCTTCGAATTGGCTTCGAATCTCGGGGAGACAATGTAATGTTTCGGGCAGGGTTCAGAAGTCTGATCAACTTCTTGCTTGCAAATAAAAGAGATCAATAAAACAGACACAGAAATCTGCTCGCCACAGGACATGCTAGTGCATGTGGCGCGTGGGGTGGAGGGGGGGGGGGATATCACTAAATATCTTCACATATAAATGATTTTGGAATAATATGAAAGATTCATTATTTTATTTAAAGTAATACAGCTAAGTTGGTATGAAAAAACTGCTTATCAACTCTCTATCTAGTTTTTCACAAGATCGCGTGCCAAACTTCAAAAGTCGCTGAATCACTGACTATATTTTCTTCATCCGCAATCTAGAAACGTCTCTAGCCTTTCGAGGATTCCGCCTTTTATAAACACAGACGCGCCGCGAACTTTCTTTGACGATTTTTCAAGATATTAAAATCGAGTTGAAGCATTACATAATAACTGGCGCTCATCACGCCAATACGCCAATAATACGAGTAGTTAATATTGTACACTAAATGAATTGATATTTTCACGGGGTACTGGATTGAAATAGCAAATAATCTTCTTAACGCAATTGTTACAAGTAATTATCAAATTATTAAAATTTAGTTTTCATATTGTTTTTTTTTATCGTGTATAATATTATTATATTACTGTCAAATTTTATTTTATCTATAATAAAAGCACAAATTTGTGTGTGTCTAAAAAAAATACTATTGCTTACCTTATATTTAAAATTTCTATTTCTTCTTGAAGTGTAATATTTGTAGCGCGCAAGTAGTTTGTTATCTGAAACGTAGTACTATTTGTTAATATTTTAAATTTATTGCTGAATCAAAAATCCAAAAATTCTGTACCTGGTTAATGATTTCTTCAGTTACGTTAGCCTTTCCAAGGTCCATAACTTCCAATCTTGTTTCAAAACGGGCGGAGGCTGTAAAGTAATTTCAAAATTCGGAGTAACTATTACAAAAAAGCAACTTATTTTTTTAGATATATAAATATTATAAGCATAAAATTTGCATAAGTCATAAATACAATTATGTATTTAAAAACGCAAAATAGATTAGTTAACTTATTTACAATCCCTTCAAAGTCCTTTCCCCAATCTTCACAATCACGACCTAGCCCCCCGGGCCGCAGTTGAAATAAATAGGTAACTAATATATTTCGCGTTTTAAACCGTTCATTTATTTTTCATTATTACCTCCATTTTAGCCTACTATATAATAGAGGCATTCTTTTAAGTTAAATATACAGCATATGGTGTATTGCAGCATCCAGCAGTAAAAACTTGAAATCAACTTACAACTATCGCCATCTTTCGGATTACAATCGCAGCTCTTTCCATCTTTACAGCTCTCCGAACACTCCTCTATACCGCATTCTAGAAACGGGTTGATTAAAAATGGGTTAGTTTAGAAGGCCGTTACTATAAAGCTAAATCTACAACGTAACACAATAATTTTTTTTTGAGAACAGACAAGCTTGTCAAGTCAACCTTCCATCACAAATGATGGAGGGCCAAATAAAGGCCAAAAAAGAAGATTAAATGCCGCAGCCATATCTGAACACGATGCGCAATCGACCTATTTCGTGACTTCGATTTACTCTATACATATAAAATAGTATTGAAGAAACTGCTAGATGAACATGCGACGACATTTAGTTCTAAATGAGACAATAATTACGATATATTACTTGATGATATTATAACTGAGAAATTTATTAAGAAAACATCTCTTAGTTAGTTAGTTAGTATTAATTGTAATCTATACGAATATTATAAAGCTTAAAAGTTTGTTTGTTTGTTTGAACGCGTTTATCTCAGGAACTACTGTTTCAAATTGAAAAATTATTGCTTAGAGCATTTATCGAGGAAGGCTTAAGGCTATAAAAAATCACGATGCAACCAATTTGCACGCGCTCCGAAAACGCTCTAATATTTAAATAAAACACTAACGGTTTAAAACGCGATATATTAGTTAAACTTATTTGAAAATTATTTTTAACTTCGGCCCGACGTTTCGGATGCTTTGCAGCAGCCGTGGTCCCGTGACCACGTAAAAACCTTTTTCAAATAAGTTTAACTAATATATCGCGTTTTAAACCGTTAAAGTGTTTTATTTAAATGTGTACTACTCGCGTAAATTATAGACAGTATTTAACGCTCTAATAAAAATTTTTTTTAAGAATGATTCTTTTTTTTTAAATAATATAAATAAACGGCCGCAACATTATTTGTATCTTTTAAGATCAGTTCGCAATAAGGACGTCACGTAAAAACTGATTTTGATGCCCACAGCTAGTAGTATTAAAAATATGGCAATGATTTGCCTTAAGTAACTTTTACGAATTTGTATTCATGTAGAATCTAATTTGTTTCAAAGTAAAAGAATGGTAGAAGAAGAACAACTTTATCTCGGTGGTAGTAGTCTGTACATGCCTTTACAAAGCTTGGCAATAAATGAACACTAACCGCAACTATAAATAAGTGTTCGCAGTAGACAACTTGAAGACAAAGCAATAATGGTACGTGAAGGTTTATTGGTTGTGTGCACCTGTTCACAAACTTGCAAGTTTCTAACATGTGGCTCCTTTGAGTTATCTGTGGTTTTATATATTTCCACAGTGTACATGATAGAGGACGACAGAACAACCACTTAATGGTAGTTAATGGTATTTTTGGCCTTGGTTATTTGGAAATCCATAGATGAAAACGCGATATATCTTCACGGCTTTTTCATCTGAGAATAGTGGTACGTGCCTGGACGGAATATTGATATACCATACACACTTACCGCAGATTTAATATTCAGATTTCCAAACAAAAAGCATGTGACAGAAAAATTATAAATTAAATAGAAAATATTGGACCTAGTACGGCCCACGGCCCACGACCACGATTATAAGTTATATTTGTTAATAGTGTATACAGTAAACATATAACAATGATATTAAACACAAAATAACTACGCTCATATATAAAGAAATCATTTTTTCATACAAAATGAATACTGCAAGAGCCGTTTAATTTTACCACACAAATTGCATTTCATTGATGAAAAACGGTTCGCAACATACGCAAAGAGAAAAATTTACAATTTTTGTTCATTTTTAAATTACTGAATTCAGTAATTATACAGTCATTTATCTTTATAAAGACTGTAACTATAGCTTTAATATGATGTATTTGTATTCAGTACATTTATGTTCTATTGTTACTAATAATAGTTGTTTAAAACTTGCATAGTACGTATGCGGTTACAGCTTTACCATCTGTAATAAAACAATATTTATATAATTGCGTTGTGGAATTCGTTTCTTTATTTTACAAATAACTCAAAATGTAAATAATATTCTCTCATTATGTTAATAACAACATAGTTTTCATATTTGAATAGATTATCTTTAAATAGTAAATAATATATAGGAACTATTCATATTTACCTATTCATTGTTAACAAAACTAAAAACTCTACGATATGTATATATCTCACTTTATAATTAGCAATAGCGTTATATTTGATTATTCTTTCTTTTAGCTACTTAGTTTATGTATTGTCTTATATTAATTTGCCTAACTCTTTTAATTATCTTAAATAAGTTCGTCACATCTTATTTTTCCGTGTAGTTCTCTAGCTTTAATATGTTATATCTTCGTGCAATATAGAAAAAACGGGGAAGTCAATGCAGCGTTAAAATTATGACAGCTTTACCGCGATCATTTTTCTACTCACTTATGCATTCGTATATGTGTATGATAAGGGCGGATAGACAAGTGTGATATTTTGATGAATGGCTCCAACCCTATGACATTTAATTAAGATGGTCTGGTTCTTTGCCCTTGGCTTTGGGCATTCAAATCTACTGGCTGAAACCTAAACGCGAACGATCAACCGTCTCAACCTTTATACATAGTTAATTCGTAGCTTGATTGATTTATATTCGTATATACATGAATTCTAATTAGATTAAAATATAATCTATAACACTGTGCGTTGGGTTGAAATTACATTGCGCGAGAGCTGCATGTATACCTAAATGGGCTGAAAAAAAAAAATTGAAGACGTGGCATTGTAGCTCAATTGCTTCCGTCTTCGATTTTTCTTTAAACTCATCATGCCATTATGTGAAAATCAATTTTTACATTAAAACAAATGAAGTATAAAAATATCTATGCATATAACTGTGTTACTTTCGTTTAATGCATACAACACGTATCTGTTTGATTGTACCCATCGTCTATTGCTTTGAAAGACAAAGCTAAGCAATCATAATCAATTACGTTAACATCCCGTACCTGGCGAAGCAATTTCAGATTCACAGAGGTCGCCGGTGTATCCCGGCGCACAAATGCAGCTAACAGCGGCGGGACCCATTTGCCTGGAAATTACAAAGGCTTTTAACATCAGGCCGTAGTCCTTTAATTGGAGGCTGGCATTTTCAGCTACAGTATGGCCACTATAAATATGTAAGAGCAAACATTGGTATAGAAAATATAATAGTATAGAAGCTAAAGTTGCAATTGGATGGATTATGATGTGTCGTTTGTATTAGATCGTTTATTAAGTGTGTAGTTTATTTTACTTTAGGGAAAAAAGATTAAATATACTTACTTTGTTGTAAGGATAAAGAATGGAATTTCTGTCAAAAACAAATCTAAAACTGTAAGAAAATAGCATTCTTATTTAAATTTTTAAACAAAACTTAGAAGCGATAAATAACGAATCCGTAAAGTTTCGTTAACAATAGTTTAAAATTAACAAAGTTATTTACATAATTGTCTCTATCTTTTGTATACTCCGCTTCCCAACTTCTCTAATTGCCGGTTAAAAAGTATACTTAAGTAATTTAATTTTCTTGAAAAAAAAAATGAGCGAGATAAATCTAGCAATTAATTAAAAAGTTGAGTCTTAATAAAGTTTTTGTGGAAGGAAGTTATAAATTGTGTTACCTCTCTTCGTGAGGCAATTAACAAAAACTGCTCGAGGGTAGAGTTCTTTACTTTATTAAAATGCGTAACTTTATCATAATGCTTAGGTTTTTGATTGAATTAAGAATATTAAATAACACACTTTTAACTGTTTAACGCGCTCTTTGGTAACTCATTTTAAATAGTTAATAACTGTTTTATTACATGTGTACCGCTTAAACCACAAAATAAGATCTTAATAGACATTAATAACATTTAAATACTCAAACCTACTTCGCATCTATCATATATCGTAAATATATAGATATTTTACTGATAATAAAACCTGGTGATAATTAAAAATGATACTAAAAAACTTTCAAGCTTCTAAAACTAACCTGCAAGTCCCTTTATTCTTGCACAAGTTAGAAGTAGTTGGACATAGAGGCCCAATCCCGCAGTCAGGTCCTGAGTAACCATCGAAACACGAACAAAAGAATTCTCTGAAAATAAATGGATTTATACATTTCCTATTATTTGAATACGTAATATTTCAAGACTATACAGTGTAAGTTTACTGTACCTAAAGAATATGGAAGTTTTAAACTTTTCTTAAAAGTATGACAGAAGTTTACATCGCTAAGTTTGAGCTAGTATTCGTATATAAGAGTATGTATATGTAGTAGTAGTACATACTACATATACAGAATGTTTAAAATCAATTTAAAATTCATTTGTCAAACCGACTAAATTCTTATATCTAGGAAAACATTGTTTTTATTCTTCAAAAGATTATTTTATGACGTTAACACTAAAACAGGTTTAAAATAATATACAACATAACTATTGAGAAGCTATAGGCTAAGATTTCTTATAAACACGCAATGTGAACTAATTGAGTCGCTACAAGCTTTAAACGTTTACTTGCTAGGAATAGTATATATTACAAAAACTCATGCGCAAGTCAACGTTTGTGAGACAAAAAACAGAGGCTGTGATCTGTGGGGTTATAGAATACCACCGCCTTATGGGCGTAATATTAACGGCCACACTAGCGGCCGTTTGTATGCCCATTAGCGTTATAAGTATGCGACAGTTTTTAACTCGGAAAAGTGGTTTCACATATTGTGATAATCGTTAAGCTAACTTTACTTGAATTTAGACAAGATTGTCCTTGACGGAGCTCTGTATTTCATAAGTGTCAATTTTTAGTATTAGAATGTATTAAGCTATCGCCTAATGCCAAAAGCCGGTGCCAAATTATCGCGTCAAGTTCGGTCTGCATCTACGGGTACTGTCCACTATCGTGATAATTAATTAATCTCATTAGTGTGGCTCCAACATTAGTAGATAGAACTTACGAATAATCGCGTGTAGCATAACAATGTCCGAGCAATCGGCACTCTATTGCACTGCAGGAGGCCCGCGGCGTATTGTCCATCGAGGACTCAGGTGAATGCACAGCATATGTCACGTTTAGCCCGAAGACAGATAGGAGACCGAGCGCGCGTAGCTGTGTCCCTTCCAGCCTGTCCAGTGTTAACTCCACAACTAGTACTGGACTTTGTACCTGTTGAAAGATTATCATAGTTCATAAGATAAAAATGCTAGTCACGTATTGCGTATTCTGTTAAGGACACGTCTAAATCCGTTAGGATTAAAGTTTATAGAACTAAAAAAGTCAAAACTTCATAACTTCTAGCTATGATCAATCGATGTCTTAGTTTTTTATGTCTATATCAGTTGAACTTAATCCGACATACACAATTTTTTAATGTATGTTATTAACCCATATGTTAATAACCCAACAAGACTCAATCGCTTCATCAGATTGGAACCAGATTACTCGGCGGGCACAAGCCTGTGGCCCACCACCAAAAATCCCTTCCCTGACGTTATTTCAAAATAACGAGTTGTCAATAACCGTCTGTCATCTCTTAATGACAATCTGTCAAACGTCAATGACAATTGTTACTTGACATCCGCATACCCCTTATTTGTGTTAACAATCAATTTAGTCGATTTGGTAAATGTAATAGATTACGGTGATAAAGCATGCTAGCAAGCTACGGCACAGCCATCATGACATCCCAAACCTTCTGGCGAGTGGTAGTCGGTTCTCCCAGTTTATAATTTCCTCTTCCGACCGTGTCCGTATTCATGGCTGTTTCCAACATACATATTATTCAGTTTTAGACATCAATCTACACTATCCTTTTTTTCATAGTCTATGTTATCTTTTTTTAAAAGACGATAATGAATTAAAATCGGTTTAGCCATTTAATTGCATCGAACTAGTAAAACAGTTATGTTTTAAACATCCCAGTTAATGTATGATTCAAGTAAGCGTGTAGCGAGAGCGGTATTCCCTGATTGGGTTTCAGATAATATGAGAATTTCAATTGATACAGACAGATAAGACGGAGTTTCCGTACTGCAACATAATATTATGGTGTTATAGAATTACGTGACCCCGTGGTTTTGTAAACAACCGATATAATTTAGTGTGAAATCCCGTTTCCCCTTGTGGGGCATGGGGCGAACACATTTCTGTATCTGTTTCACTGATCGGTTCTATTTATAGGCAAGTTGATCAGACTTCTGTGCCCTGCCCGACCGAAACAATTTACGGTTTCCCCTGGATTCGAACCCATTACCTCTCGCGCTTATCGCAATGGTAGGCGACACGTTTAACCATTTAGCTACAAAGGCGGTCAGTCATAATAGTTTAACCTTCTTAGCTCGAATGGAAAATATTTTTTATTACCATATCTATATATTATAGCTTAGTTTTGTAGACCTTTTAAACAAAAAAAAATAGAAGGTCTATGAAGTGTAATGGAAATAAAATAAACCGGTGTCACAGACACACCAAAACATACAGTGGTTGTAGGTTAGATTCCTGTCATAAGTTATTTAATATCAATACATTTTAAAAATAAACCTAGAAATAAAACTAATAAATTTGACCCAAGAATAAATAATAAATAAAAAACAAATGGGGTGAGCTAAATAAAACTATTTAAAAAAGTAGCTTCTTTATTCTTTATCTTTGAAAAGTTTGTCAATTACGTGGAACAAATGAGAAACAAGGCCGGTAGTTTCAAAAAATCGTTATGGTTAAATAAATTTATACAAAACAGTGTTTATGAACTGCATCTATATACACATATAATTAATTTAATTACAGTTTGGATATAGTTAATGTTCTATTCTTTATGGTAAAACCTTCTCATACATTTTACGACAGAAATTCAATATCCAAGGAATATTTTTCAGAACTTGATTTTTTATCAGATCCTGTTGAAATGTTTGGTTATTGATATTCGGTCGGTTGCCCCTCGATTCTATTAATTTTAATGTGCCATTCACATCAACGAGAAGGTCGTTTAAGGATATTTACTGTGAATTACTTTTCGAAACGCCATTTGTTGCGTTGGGGACGGCAGCTCAAGATTTACTTATGAATTATTTATCGGGAATGCAGTGGAGAATATTATATTTTGTCACGATATTTTTTATAACAACAGAAAGGTTCATTTGAAAGTTAAACACTTAGGCCCTAAAATATCTTATTATGATGATCTGTGGACCTTGCTTTAGACATTTTGAAATCCACAGATTGAAACCGAGACGCGGATTTCAATTCTGGTTTTATCTATCACTAACTGGAAATTCCAGTTAACGTTCATTTTTTTCAAATGTGGTCTAATAGAATAAATACTGTCTGTGGTTTATGCGAGTAGTACACTTTTAAATAAAGCATTTTAACGGTTTAAAACGCGATATATATTAAGTAAAACTTATTTGAATAATATTTTAACTACGACCTGATGTTTCGCCAGCATCCGAAATGTGGAGTTGTAGTTAAAATAAATGTAACTAATCTGGTTTCAAACCATTAAATTGTTTAATTTAAATGTGTAATAGAATAGATTTTAAAAAGATAGATTAGATTATAGATTAGTCCCCTTAATTCGGTGAGAATCGTTGGTTCTTCATACACTGCTATTATTAGACCGACGAGCCTGTCAGAAATGTTTTACGATAAAATATATTACAGTGTGTAAATAATCTCGGTACGCACGTCTAATTTATCAGTTCATCTGAAACCTGTCTGCTTACCCACGCAAAAGCTCAAGGTTTCTATCAAAATAAGCAGGTAGGTAGGTAGTTCTCGAAAGCTCAACCGTCAAGGGATTTTCTTAATTAAGCCTACCTATAGATATTAATATTTAAAGCGAAGAAGAAGCCAGACGTTCTTAAATAATAAATTAATTATAATTTACAATGTTAAATAAAATTATGACTTTGACAAAATGTGTGAATGCCTAAGTGAAGAAGGATAGTATCTCATATGTCATCGTTCTTACTTAGTAGGCAACCAGGAACATTACAAAAATAAACTAAGCCTGAACTCACAAAAAAGGACTATAGCTAAGTAAATAATAAAACAAATATAAGGATATTTGATGATATTTGAAAATAGAGCAATATGTTTGGTAAGCATACAGCGTAGCTGAGCTACGGTGTATGGTTTAGCCCTATTGCTTTTTGACCTAGGTCAATTCCATATTTTGTTATTATTAAGTAAAACACTAACCCAGCAGTGTGTGTTACCAGTGATGACGTACGGTACCGAAACCTACCGCGAGCATGGTGCACAGACTACGCGTCGCTCAGCGTGCGATGGAAAGGGCTATGCTCGGAGTTACCCTGTGTGATCGAATCAGGAATGAGGAGATCCGTAGAAAAACTAACACTCACATAGCCCATCGAATTGGCAAGCTAAAGTGGTAGTGGGCTGGGCACATCGCTCGTAGAACTGACAGCCGTTGGGGCAAAAAGGTTCTGGAGTGGAGACCGCGTACCGGACGTCGAAAACCTGGACGACCTCCTACCAGGTGGACGACCTGGTCAAGGTAGCAGGGAAACTCTGGGTTCAACTAGCGAACGACCGGTCGTACTGGAAGTCTATGGGGGAGGCCTATGTCCAGCAGTGGACACTGAACAGCTGAATCGAAGTAAAACACTTGAAATTGCTAAAACGCATATCAGGTTATATTTTAAAACGAGTAAAATAATAATTTCCTGTTTTGAACCGCAAAACGTGTTTAATTTAAATTTGTACGACTCCCGTAAACTGCAAACAATAGTTTGGTATTTACAACTTGCAATAGTTTCTTGGTAAATGCCCATTACAAACGAAGAGGCTGTCATCGTAATATTGTTAGATTACTCCTATTGTGTGATATGTATACAGTTGTCAACTGGAACAGTACACGAGAATTAATGCTAACGCAAGACATAAGCCCAAGATCCCAGTTCACGTGTGAGGTCAGTAACATAAAGACCATTGTACTTAATAGCAATTGTAAATACATATCTTGGACGATAAGTATCTACGATATTTAATTATTGTGATGAAGTATTTTTTTTTTAATGACAGACATTTGGCTTTGTATATTCGGAAATCCGCAGACTCAAACCGACACGCGATGAAGCTTCACAGATTTTCCATTTGCGGTGCTTCGTGACCCGGACGAAATTTCTAAATTCCTACCGCCCATTGAAAATTCAGATTTCGAGACGAAGTCCAAGATGTTTCAGAAAATTAGAAACATGTTAGACCTGGTGGGGATCGGACCAGCGACCCGTTGATTATTAGCTATATATATTACATATATTGCTATCATTAGGCCAACAAGCCCGTTGCATACTTGAAGCAATTATAAAGTTGAAAATAAAATACTCGATACTCTAATCAGGAAGGTTCCTTGTTTTAAAGAAACGACGTGAATGAAATCACATTTGTCCTGTGGAGCATGGGGCGCATACAATTCATGTCTAAGTTTTACTGATCGATTTTAATGAAAGGTGAGTCAATAATAAAAGAAAACTATGGAACTGAAATATCGAAATAAAAATATCTATAAATAAAACACTTTAACGGTTTAAAACGCGATAAATTTTAGTAAAACTTAAATACTGTCTATAGTTTACGCGAGTAGTACACATTTAAATAAAACACTTTAACGGTTTAAAACGCGATATATTAGTTAAACTTATTTGAAAATGATTTTTAACTAATATATCGCGTTTTAAACCGTTAAAGTGTTTTATTTAAATTAGTAAAACTTGTTTGAAAGTTGTTTCTAACTACGGCAAAAGTCGGGCCGTTTAACAAGTTTAACAAAAATATATCGCGTTTTAAACCGTTATAGTGTTTTATTTACTTAAATGTGTACTACTCGCGTAAACTACAGACAGTATGAAAATATGTATGTTATAAATAGAATCCCGAAGCAAAAGTTGTTTAAGTGAGCATTTTACGAAATGACGATTTGACTCAATTTCGGTGGTTCATAACTTTAAAGCAAGTTCAATTTAAATGCAAATCACCAGATATTCTGTAGGCAAGGCAAGGCTGCAATAGTTATATGTTAATTCTTAGTTTCCCATTTCGTTCTGTCTACGCGAGAATGGTGTTTAAAGATTTAGTTCTCAAGTAATTCAGCGGTGTTACGCTTTGTGCGGTTAACAGCTGAACTTTTAACAGGTTTTCCTATA